CCCCAGAGAGGTCCGCCTGGCGCCGTCGTTATTTGTTTTTCGGCGCCAGGCGAAGACCTTTTTATTTAAGCAGCATTTTAAATGTTAATATTATTGAATTTTATTCAGCCAGGGCGGCTTATTTTATTTTACTGTATATATTTTAATTGTTATTGTTTTAATGTATTTTGTATTTTATTTGATGTTGTAAGCCGCCCCGAGGCCTCGGCAAGGGGCGGCATAGAAATGTTTTAATAAATAAATAAAACAAAGCCTCCCCACAAGCAAAACTGAGGTTCATACTTACAAATACATTTTCAGAATAATACAAATAAAGTAAGTTTGTATACTAGGGTATGGAAAGAAATATTTAGAGTAAAAATCAAATAAACTTTAATCTAGCACTAACTGCTCATATGAAAGAACTTATGCCTTTGCAGGGAAGGGTTGTAAAGCATAACAACCTATTAAAACAAAGCAAACAAAAGTATCAACAGAAGCTTATCAATTAAAAATGATTTTGCTTAGACATTGCTGAGGTTTTGAAGTTACAGAAAAATCTCCTGTTCTATGACAAAGTTTAGAAACCTCTAATCAATCAATCAATCAATCTCTCTCTCTCTCTCTCTCTTTATATATATATATATATATATATATATATATATATATATATAGTGTGTGTGTGTGTGTTTAAATAAATGGAATATATATGCACATTTTCCATATATCAAATCAATAAGGCATGCTGTTTTATCACAAGTCTTTGTTACTTATGGAGATAAAGAAACACAGCACTTGCCAACACAGTATGATAGCATAATGTAGAAGTAGGCAATCTGTTGATATGGACTTTTTGACTGTAACTCCAATCAGCCCCAGCCAGCATGGCCAATACCCAGAGATTATGTAAGCTGCAGTAAAAAATAATAATAATAATTCAAAGTCACTAGGTCACCAACTTCTCTATTGGAAACACTAGAGCCAGTTGGTGTAGTAGCTAAGAGTGCAAGAATTTAATTGTCTGAGAATCAGGCAATCTGGGTTCTTAAGTCCTGATACAGCCATAGAGCTTACTGGATGACTTTGGGCCAGTCACAAACTCTCAGTTCAACCTACCTCACAGGGTTGTTGCTGTGAGGGTAAGATCAAGAGGAGGAGGAGGAGAGTTATTTCAGCCACTTTGAGTTCTTGGTAAAGAAAAAAAGGCAGGATATAAATACAATAAATACATAAAAATAACCATGTGTGTAAGCACACCAGCATGTACAGTAATTGCTAGGCTCTGAGCATGTAAAGTTTACATGTCTGAGGAAAAATGTATAAATGAGCATTGTGCCCTGAACACACACACACTTCCACATCCAATGCATACAGCAAACCATAGGCATGCCTATGACTGCAGGGCTTAGAAGCTGTGTAAAATAAATGTAATATAGTAGTAACGTTATCACCCATTCTTCTACTACCTTTCAAGACAGCCCAGGCACTGAGTTCAGATTTCGGAGGAGTGGGTTCATACAAGATTATGGATTATAGAGAGAAGGTCTGCTGTCTGTTCTGGCTTTGTACAGTAACAGTACCATGTGCTTGGGCTATTGGTGGTATGGAAATGTAATAAATATTTTTGTTACAAGCCATTTAAAGTTTGTGGGATTTTCTGGAACATGTTAAAGTTGGCGAGCAGCTCCTGATGGCTGGGAAAAGTAACTACAGCAATACAACACACTACGTCTATGGAATATATCCCATAATAATAATTTAACAAACCCATCTCATTTTCTTGATATCAGTTAAGAGTGCCCTTAATGTCATCTATAATTCACATGCTCAGTTATCCTGGGAAGTGCAAGACCTTTTTCTGTCTAAGCATGCATATTACTGCATCATTAGTTATATTAGAAACACCTATAACAGTACTTTAAAGGAAAGGGCTATGCAAAATGACAGTTGCAACTAACCTCCTGTGCCTCCCTTACAAAATACTTTTCAACAGCACTTCTAGTACTGGAATTCAGCTGAGGAGAAAAGCTCTTGGTGGATGGAAGCTCCTGGGTGATAAACTGCTGTCCATGGGTTATTACCTAGCAGTTTCTCTGTTCCTTACCCATGTACCATTTTAGCTTAAAATATTCAAGCACTCTCCTCATTATAGATATTTCCACATTATATAAAATGCATCAGCAGCACAGAAACCCCAGTAATTCAGCACTGGAAATCTAAATGCATAAGACATAGTTTTAAAAACCATCATTCTTTACACCCATGATAGACAAATACACCCTATTCATAAACTTTACAGTCACTCCAAGCCATTACATACACAGTGATAGCTGATCCTTGTGTAAACTAAGGAAGCGAACCCCTCCCAAAGCCAAGAGAGGCAAGGATGGGGCAGCTGAAACTAGTTGCAGCCAGACTAGACTGGAGCAAGAACATGCTACTAGAGCAATGGACAGAGCAGAAGGTGGAGGAATATGATGTTTAATCAGCACTATACAAGTTAGAAGCCTGCACTGTTTGAGTGGATACTGCAGGTAACCTTGCTTTGCTATGTAGTCTCCCTTGGTGTCCTACAACAGCAGGGGGTTGGACCCGAAGGCCTTCATGGCCCTTCCAACAATACTATTCTATTATTCCTTCATTCCTGGAATAAAACTGCCTCCTTCTGACAAACCATCTTGACTGGTTTGTTCTTGATCAGGCACACCAGGCAAATGCACCGCTTCTCAGATTTGGGTAACAATAAGCTCAATTCTAAACAAATTAAAGCTGGGTACATTAATGCAGTTATATGAACTACCATTGCTCTCTTTGTGGTATCTTGCCCATATATCACCTTTATTAAAGAGTATGTAAAGACTCCTTCCTGAGCAGAGGAAGCACTTGGAATATCCAAACTAACAAATGCTATAGTCCTTCACCTATTTCATTGGCTGTAAGCCACAGGGAATACAGTGGAATTTAGTTTCAG